GGGGGAGGGAGGGAGAAAGAGAGAGACAGAGGGAGGGAGAAGGCGAGAGAGAGGCAGAGACAGACAGACAGAGAGAGGGGGAGGGAGGGAGAGACAGAGAGTTGGGTAGAAACTCTAAACCCCAGGGAGAGTTTAACCTGCACTTGATGCTCTTTGGGAAAAAGTCAGAATAGTTCCTATGTAGGTGGGTGGGGAGAGAATTTTTTTTTATATATTTATGAAATCTATCTTGACTTGCCGGATGACCTGAATCCATTAATTACATCTGAGACATCAGGGGTTAAGTAATAAAAATACCAGAAAGTCCAGATGGTTGTAATTCAGTATGCGGAAGGGTGATAAGGCAAAGAGTTGAGCCAGACTGAAGTCATCTAAGTTCTTCTTTTAGAAGCTCCTCAGCTCTTTCTCCTTTCGTAGGTATCCATCCAGGCTTTTATATCTGAATCTTCCTTTTTTTTTTCACTTATTGGTCCCACTTTCTCTTGCTTGTGGATAGGGGTCTTCTTGCAAGGAGGAAGAGAATCATGTCTGGCTTGAATGATCCCTCACTTGGACCACAGGGGTCATAACTGATCAGCCAAAGCCTTCTCCAGATGGGTTTCTACTCCATCTGTGAACTTTCTGTCTAGGAGTGTTTTCCAACCTGGGCAACTCTAAGATGAATGGACTTCAACTCCCAGAATTCTCCAGTCAACCTGAGTTGAAGTCCATCCATTTTAGAGTTTGCCAAGGTTTGGGAAGCAATGTTGTAGATCAGGGGTCTTCAAACTTGACAGCTTTAAGACTTGTGGACTTCAACTCCCAAAATTCCTCCTCCAGTCAGGTTAGTTTAGGAATTTTGGGAGTTGAAGTCCACATGTCTTAAACTTGCCAAGTTTGAAGACCCTCGTTGTAGACCAATGCTTGGCATCACAATCTGCCTCCAGGTTCTTCTGATAGTTCTATTATTTCATCAGTCCCATCCATTTTTTAAAAAATAGCTCAACACCTGCTCCTATCGTGACCACAATAGGTGATCTGATTACTGATCATAACCAGCAGTCAATCTTTGCTTGGTCCAAGACCAATTGGATAATTCTTTTTGCAGTTCATAGATGTTCTTAGTAACCATCTCCAGATCTTTATTTCAAAAATCTCTCTTTTGCTCTCCATTTCAAAGTCCATCTTTCCACTTTCAATTGGGGGAAAACCATTTATTTAACAAATTTTATCTCTGCAGTCTTAGAAATCATTCATGATTCTATCTTAATTTTCATTCTTGCCTAGGGCTTTTCTCTTTTTTGCTTATCTAGTCACTGTCTTTCTTCCTTCTTTCCTTTCTCTCTCTCTTTCTCTCTCTCTCTCTTTCTTTCTATTTCTCCTTTCCTTCCTTCCTTTCTGTCTTTCCCTGTTTTTTTTTCTTTCTCTTCCTTTCTTCCTCCTTTCTCCCTCCCCCTCCCTTCTTTCATCTTTCTTTCTCTCACAGAACTTGATTGTTAATGTTATTTGTCTTCATAAATGTCAGCATTAATCCACAGTTTTCATTTTCTATTTTTATTTTCATAATGGGTTCCCAGTGGCATAACTACCGCTGCTTGAAAGGCAGACCACGCAACTTTCCAGCAAAGTTTTCTTTCCATTAAATAGCTAATTTTCTTTACTGCAAGAAGCAATTTCTGTTTAATGCATATCAACATGCAACTGTTTTTGCCATTTTTAAAAAGTACAGGTAGTTCTCGACTTACAACCACAATCGTCCCCTAAATTTTGATTGCTAAGTGAGACATTGATTAAGTGAGTTTTGCCCCATTTTATGATACCTCTTGCCATTG